CTATCAAAATAAACCTAGCAGTTAGATAAGCAGATTAATCTTAAAATAAATACACCAAATTTTCTCAATTTTTAAGCTTTTTTTCCCATTACGAACATTTCTTAACCCTTTAAAGCCTGCTGTCTTTTTACCATATCCATAAACACCAGCTACGCGATTTCTATTTGCTTGTTTTTGTTTTTCTTGGATCAGACACGCGTATGTTATCCCAAACTGACACTCACAGTGTCCACAAGGAGAGAGGTGGCCCCCAGTTATCTCCTGCCGGGAAGGTGCATGGTCACCATCCCATTAATTGTTCCTTCACACCTGGGATGGGTAGAGACCGAGGGTATTTCTGGGCGCCCCATCCCAGATTCCAAGGCTGGGATATCCTGTCTCAGTGCGCTGGGGGAGAGCGAGTGGTTGTCACCCCACACCACTGAGGACGTCCTCAACCCTGTCCCCTGAGGAATCCCCTCCCCACTGCACAGGGGTGGAGACAGCATTTCCCCCTGCCCTGCTTCGTCTGACTCCCATCCTTGCTGAGAGAGGGAGTCACATCCCGGGGGTAGCAGGTACTCACTGCCTGTTCATGGTTCTTGGCGCTCGGCAGAGAAGAGGGATCTTCAGCTCAGCCTGTGAAAACAAAAGCAAACTCGTGACTGGACCCACATATCACACTTTAATTTGGTGAATGTGCCACCGTGACTTGTTCTTAACATCGGACACAGGTGCTGGTCTGGAGGAAATGATAGAAAGAGACTCTATCCAGGGTGACAATGGGTTTGTTTCTGGATCAGGAAGGGAAGGGACTTTCCCCTGATGTGCTGTCCTCTCTCTGCCAGCATCCATCGCCTCTGCCCCCTGGACCCGGCTTCCCCTGGCACAGTCGGGCGCCTCCCTTGGGCACCAGGCTTGCCAGCACAGGCCTGGTGGCTCTGCTCCACACCAGGGCTGCAGGGGAGGGAAGATTTTCATTCCTGAGTGCAACTTTACTGTGAAATATTTACTGGAAGTGAGATTTATATACCACCCAGCGCGGGGCAGCATCTTATTTGAGCTTTGCGTTCGCCCACGTCGGAGCGATCGTTAGTTTTATTTACCATATAAATTAGCAGTGGGGAAAAAAATAAATTAGCAGTGGAGACACTGAGAGTGTTCAAAGGGCTTTGTATCAATGATCACGCTTAATCTACTCACAGAGCCTGAGAGGCATAAAGGATATTTCCCACTCTCTCAGCTGGGGTTCCAGAAAGAAACAGATGGACCCTCCAACTGGTTAATTTGAGAACAGTTTAATAAAGGTACTATTTAAAAGATGTGGGCAGGGGAGAGGGAATTTACAAAAGATAGCAAAATATGGAGTGTTTGAAATGAAGGGGCTGGAGGAGGTAGGGCTGTGTGGTGTCCTGGTGACGGGAGACAGGGCTGGCTGCAGAGGGGTTGGGGCCCTCAGCTGCGGGACCCTCAGGGGAGGAAACCGCAGGGTGGGATAAAAATTCTCATCTCACGCTTCCTGGGGCTCACAGCTAAATGTGGTACGGCAGAGAGCGTTTTAACAGTGAGAGAGTGAAACCCAGGGAGACTACATCATGTGCCCAAGAACGTCTCTCTGTAGGAAGAGCCCGGGGCCAGATGACCTGGAGACTCAGGTTCCTAACTGGCAGCAGATTGCACCGTACCAAGGCTGAGTTACTGCTAGCTCATGTTGCTGTCTGTCCAGCCATCGTCTGTCTATCCAACTGCTATTTATTGGAGGCTTATTTTGTGCAAATGTTATGCCCAGTGAGACATAGTCCCTGCCCTCAGCAGCTGCTACAACTCAGCCTAGTACTGTTCCTGGGTCCCTCTGTGACAGCTGCTATCACAGTGCCCTGTGAGAGCAGTCACATGGACAGAAAGGACACGATGGGTTCCAACTCTGCTGGGTGAGACTGGGGCATCTGCACGGAGGAGGCGAGGTGTGAGCTGGCCTTGCTCAGCAAGTCTGGGCCTTCCAGGCTCAGAATTAGGGAAGCTGCTTCCCGAAACGGAGAAGCATCGCAGAGGTGTGAAGACTGGCTCCTCCCCAAGGCCTCGTATGTCAGGGTGGCTTGGTGTGACACAGAGGCTGGTGGCTTGGATGTGATGGGACATGGAAAAGAATTTGGGGACCTCCCTTGGACGACGGCTGTCACGAATCACATACTTCAGGGGATGGGGCTTGGATGTGGACTGTGTGGTCTTGACGCACACCAGCAGGAACATTGCTAGAGAACTTGACCTGAACGTGAGGTCCTCCGACACCTGTGACTCCTCATACCAGGCCGTCCCCTCATCTTATGCTTGCAGGTCAACAATAACAGCAGGAGGTAGGGAGGCATGGGTGTCTGGTTCACAGCTTCATTTGGAAGTTTGGGGAAGAGAACTGGAGCCTTTACCAATGTGACAGGAACAACGTGTACCCAGTACTGAACAGTCCTGTGCTGGAAGCCGAGAGGCCTCTGCTCAGTCAGTCCTGGTGCCGTCAGGAGCTGGCTGTGTGATCTCACCTCACGTACAAGTCATTACCTTCTTTATTAACAGTGTGGTCTTAAGTGTCAAATAGGTTGATGTGTGTGAAGCTGTTCTTTAAGATGTGATAAAATACGGGTTTACACTTCCTAGCATAACAAAGCAAAATTTGCAAGTCGCTTTGACGTAAATCATGTCATATTTGGGTATGCAGGGCTACTGGCATTGATTTTTGGATACTCATATTTAGAGGGATTAAATATTTGGTTACTGTCTTATAGGACAGCTCTTCCCTCTCTCTCTTTATAGAGAGGCTACCACTTAAAGAAAGTTGCTAATTCAGCCACTTCACTCCTTTGAAAGCATGCAGTAGTGCTGAAATGGAGTAAAATAAGCCAGTTTCACGTCTGTGTGCCTGGACTTGGCCCCTCTCGTAAACAGAGTGAGGGTACCACGGAGGCAGGGCAGACCCCTGGAGGCACACGGCACTGGGGTCTCTGGTCCTTGATTTCTGCACCTCAGGAGTGAGCAGGTTGAGCTACAGGGATCTCGTCCAGCTCAAAGACTCCATAAAGGTGTTTCATTTACAAAATTTCAGTCCACCAATATTTGGTGACAAAAATGGTTTTAAAAGTTAGAGTATGGGCCAGGCGTGGTGGCTCACGTCTGTAATCCCAGCACTCTGGGAGGCCGAGGTGAGTGGATTGCTTGAGCTCAGGAGTTGGAGACCAGCCTGAGCAAGAGCAAGATGCCATCTCTAGTAAAAATAGAAAAATTAGCCAGTGTAGTGATGGGCACCTGTTGCCCCAGCTACTCAGGAGGCTGAGGCAGGAGGATCATTGGAGCCGAGGAGTTTGAGGTTTCTATACACTACGATGCCATGGCACTATATTTAGGGGAACAGAGTGAGACTGTCTCCAAAAAAAAAAAAGTTCGAGTATGCTATTACATTTCTTATATTTTATTGTCTTTTCCAATAGAGCTTCTTGCAGAACCAAATCACAGAGGACTCTGCCAACTGCTAACACACATTGTTTGCTAAAAGAGCAAACAACATTTCTCGTCCTGACTCAGAGACGTCAAGGAGAAGGTGTCGCAGGGATGGTGGGGCAGGAATCCTTAACCTCCATCTTGTACATACACCTTTGTAAGTCATTTGATCTGTAACATCAGGTTTATTAGATTTATATTTTAAAATTTAAATTAAAACTAAAAAAAAATGAGATTTTATTACCAGCGGTTGAGAGATGTGAACAAATCTATTGTATACAAAGTTTAAATAAAAAATAGTACAAAGAGAGCCCAGACTTTTCTGGAATTTTGTAAAAAGCTAAATTTGGGCCTTTAGTGACCCACATGTAGTGTTGGGGCAGGACAGAGGCCAGCACTCAGCAGGACAAACTCTGCTCTACTCGGAAAGCTGGAGGCCTTCGGACAGCACCTTATCTGATCGTGGTGATTTTGCAAAGGATGTGGTGAGAACAGGGAGCTGCCAGGAAGCCTGTTGTGTCCCCGGGTTTGCGGAAGGTGATACATTACAGAAAAGATCAGGCCCTTCCCTTCCTGAGGTGTGGACATTTTTAAAGAGAAGAGATTGAACATCAATTATCTGTCATGTGTCCCCTGCCCCCTTCTTATTTTATGTAAAACCAAACTGACATTCACAGACGCTAAGTGCCTGGCTTTATGTGCCCTAATATAACTGGCCGGTATTTTAAAGCCACTGGCCCTGGCATCTTTGAGATATGCCTTGAGACAATGTTCACCTGTTCTCAACCTCAGTTTGTTTATAAAATAGGGTAATGCAACAGTACTCTGGTAGGGCTGTTATGGGGATTACATGAGAAAATTAAGGTCTCTAAGACACGAGGAAATAGTGAACTGAGATGAACTTGAATTTGAAGATTAATTAATTATTATTATTTTGCAGTTTTTGGCTGGGGCTGGATTTGAACCCACCACCTCAGGTATATGGGGCTGGTGCCCTACTCCTTTGAGCCACAGGCACTGCCTTTGAAGATTAATTGAATGCCTTAGATCACATCTAGGTGCCAGTCGCTAGATAGGAGAGGTGCTTCCCGGTGCTCATAACCCAGGTGGCATGACAAGAAGTTCCTATCTGTCTGCCCCTTGGAACAACCTGGAGCTTTCAAACATGCAGCTCCCCCTAAAATTTAATTCAGTTGTTTTGGCAAAAAACCCAGGTAAGGATATTGTTTTAACAGCCCCAAGTATTTTAACAGGCAGAGGGGAGTGGACAGAAGAGACACAGAGGAAGGTCTCCAGCCTCATAGCACTTGTCTTTTCCTTTTAGAATCTGTGAATGTAACAGAGTAAAATTAAAGGTGTGTCTGTAAAATACGGAGGAACCTCATTCAGGTGTCACTGGAGCACAGAGGAGACGCACCCGGAGGGATCCAGGCGGCTTCCAGCCAGCTCCCCTGAGACGCCGCCCTGACCCCAGCCTGGGGCTTGATAACAGAGCCCCCAGCCCTGCAAGTCTTTTTCCAGGGGGCTTCAAGTTCCGTCCAGTGTAAAAGAACAAACCACATTTCTTGCCCTGACGGGGAGGAGTCCAGGAGAAGGTGGAGCCGCCCGACTGTGGGCCGGGGCTGGGTGGGGGTCGGGCCTCCTCGTTCTGGGTACACTCAGTTTCTGTAAGAACTGGGGCATTTATTTCAGTTTCTCTTCCTGCTGAGCCGCAGAAATAAAGCCCATGCTTGGCTTCTGCTGTCAAGAGAAGGGACACGGAGGTACCATCTGTCAGTCCTGCAGTGGGACCCAGAGTCACAGGGCACTTGGCAGAAGTGACGCTGATATGTCCAGGGTTGACCCTGTCTGGGGGACCCGTGTGAAGCCCTTCACAGTCCCCAGAGGGGAGGCCTCATGCTGCCGCCGGGGGGCGCTGGCTGGTGGAGCCACACAGAGGTGCAGAGGCAGTTGGCTCCTGTGGGGGTCCCCAAGGAGAGGCTGCCTGTCTTCATAATGGCTATTCATTTCTCCAGAAAGGGGCACCATCATTGCACAAAGCATCATATGCCAACAACATCTAACGCCATATGCCCCCCCCCCCCGCCCCGGGCACTACAATTGCCTGAGTGTGCACCAAGCTCTAAACCAAGGGTGTCCAACCTGTGGTCCAG